TTTTCTCCTATATTTGTGGTCATCCATCTGAATTTTGGTTCTTTGTAAATTAGTATGGCTTTAATTTGAAGACAGTGTTCCTGGGCAGTTCATCTATTAGTCAGATGAATCTGACAATACCCAGTTCATTATGGTTCCTTTGGCCATCTACTATATTTTCACAGTTATCTCAGTTAGCAGAGTGTTCAGTTTCTACTAGGAACCAGTATCAAAACAAAATCTAAGAGCCAGTCATGGTGGAACACACCTGTAATCCCAGCACTCGGGAGGCTGAGACAGGAGGATTTCTGTGAGTTTGAGACCAGCCTGGGCTACATAGTGAGTTCCAGGTCAGTCTCGACTACATAGTGAGACCCTGTCTCAAACAAACAAACAAACACCAAAAGACCAAAATCCAAACCAAACAAAATCTATTTATTAAAGAGAAAAGTAGTTAGTTTGCTAAATAGAGTGTGGCTTGGCCCTGAAACCTTAGGACTTTATTTTCTTCTCTTTCAACTGTAAGTATCTTATTCAGCCATAGATATTCTCATTCATCTCAAGGGCCAATGGCAGAGCTGCTTCCATTGTATCTTGGACTATATTAAGAGCTTTTTTCTCAGCCTACTTAAAGTTAGTAGCTTTACAGATTACTAGGTAAATATGTGAGGTTAGTAAATGAAGATAGAGGTGTTGCCTCTGAAAGACAATGAGCATTTTTGCCTTTTTTCTCTCTTCATTTTGTCTGTGCTTTGTTTTGTTTGTGGAAGTGGAGCAAAGTACAGAAGAAAACATCTCAACATGCTCCATTTCATTGTTCAATAGACATTTTACTTGGGGAATAGGCTTCTGATTTTTTGCAGTATTTATGTTTTACCCTCTGGCACATACTTGTCTTACTCAGATACCTGTTACTTCGTGCAAACAAATCTTATCAGCCTTGGTGCCATCTTGTCCTGTGGGACAGTAAGATGATTAAGTCCCATGGATCAAATAATGGCACAAAACTAGAGTTGACATACATATTACTCAGGCTGAAAGTATCATTTTTTTACTGGGCATGGTGGCACATGCCTGTACTTCCAGCACTTAGGAGGCTGAGGCAGGAGAATCATCATGAGTTCAAGGCCAGTCTGGGCTACACAGTGAGTTTAAGGTCAGCTTGAACTATATCGTGAGACCCTATCTCAAAAAACAAAACAAAACAAAACCCAGAAAAATCTCATGCTTTCTCTGCCCCTTAAGATGAGAAAATACACACATTTATTTATTGTTTAGGCAGTAGCTCCACAGCAGATGAGAAGATATATTGATTTGCTGTGGTGGAAATCACATCTGGCTCAGCAACTGCAGCTGGAGTCGCTGGCTGATTAAATTTATGGTAAACTACTGTCATTCTCAAAGACCTTTATATCTTCTGAGAGGCCCAGTGCATGCTGAAAAAGATTTTTATAAGTGTTACCATCCCATACCTTTCAGGTTTCTGGTGATGGCATTAATCTTTTTGATTTCCCCAAAAGTAGCAGCATTGCTTTTAGTTCACTGTTTTGGCAGAGAAGTTTAGGAACTTTCCTTTAGTCCTGCTCTTAATAATCCTCGTCGCAGTAGACCCTTCTTTCTTGGGGTTTTTGTCTTACAGATACCTTCAATCAATTGCAGTCCAAAAATACTAAATGAAACATTCTGGAAATAAACAGTGCCTAAGCTTTAAGTTGCACTCTCTTCTGAATAGCATAAAGTCTTGTGCCATCCTTCCAAGGATGAGAATTGTCATTTTGTCCAATATATGCACATTGTATACACTATTTACCCATTGGTCACATGTCTTTCTTGGTTAATCAGATCAACTGTGATGATACAGTACTTGTATTCAAGTAACCTTTATTTTACTTGATAATGGCCCCTAAGCACCAAAGTGATACTGGCAATTCAAATATGCCAAAAAAGCCATGATGAATGTTCTCAGTAATAATAATAATAATGAAAAAATTCATCTGCTGAGATTGCCAATAGTGAGAGAGAACATTCACATAACTTTATTATAGTATATTATTATAATTATTCTGTTATTGTTAGTCTTTTATTGTTCCTAATTAATAAACTTTATCACAGGTATGTATTTATAGAAAAATATAATATATAGATAGATAGATAGATATCTGTCTATATAGAATTCCCTACTATATGTGATTTCAGCTCTCTCCTGGGGGTTTTAGAACATGCCCCTCATGGATTAGAGGGTGCTATTGCCCACAAGTCAGAAGTCAAATGTGGAAATTCTGCCTGTTTGTGACTATATACAGTATTCCACTTATGAACTCAGTTCCTGAGATAATTGTTTGATACCTCTGAATTCTTCCACCGACTAATGGTATATATAGGTATTGAGTCCTCAAGGATCAGCATCATCTCAGTGATGAGATCCAATAAATCCTAAACGAGCTGATAATTTCCATTTCTCTTTATTTAGGAAAGAGTAAGACAATTTAAGTTACATGATTATGTTACTGAAGGATTCCTCCTTAAAGGGCCCAAGCTCTCCTGTTAGAGGGTATAGGCCACTGACTGATTTGGCTGGACCAAGAAAGGCTGTTAACATTGTCATGCTCCATCACATCATGCCTCTGTCACTTAACCTACAGACCAGACCAGAGTTTCCCAGGCACCCCAGCTATTCTGGTTTTACAAACCCCTCATTAACTCTATACCACTAAATACTCCTATAGCTGAAACCATTACTTTAGTCCTCCTGTTTATTATGTTCACTCTTGCCCTCTTTCCTCTGGATACTTAGCTCTTCTGTCTCAGCTGGCTTTGACCCTCTTGGAATTCAAGAAGACCTTGAAGAGCGTCTGTAAGTCTGGCCCTCCTATCCCTGGGCTGCTGGAGGTTCAGGCAGAAGGTGGCTGAGCAGGAGACAGGGTAAATCTGCCTCTTTGTTTTATCAGGACATTTCCTGCATCTAGATCTGATTTTTATTCTGGAGTCCTGTTATACTATGCAACAAGTAGAAACTTCATGTTATTTTGTTTTAGGACTGAGGAGAGTGCCATTACAGACTCTCTCTCTCTCTGTTTTGTTTTGTTTTTTGGTTCTAGGAATCGAACTTGGGACCTTGCACTTGCAAGGCAGGCTGCAGAACCACTGAGATAAATCCCTGGCCCCCAGACTCACATTTTGGCAACTGCTTTGAATTCCCAATTTTGTACTTCAAATATCTTTCACTGGTAACATATTACAACACTTAACTGAGAAAAGCAGGTCATATAACATCTCAAACTGCTTTCTCAACTATTTTTTTTTCTGATAATCTTGTGATATAGATAGAAGTAGACTTTTGCAGTCTCATTAATCAGAATATAAATCTTGGCAAAATGCTATAAGTCAACTATATGTATAGTTTTCCATCTCTGTGCAGTATTTCTCACTAGAGGAAATACATTCACTGCTTTCTTAGCATTTCTAAAGTATCCTTGAATGGAATGTTTGTCTTTTCCCTGAGGATTTGGGGAGGGGGCTTTTGGGTGGTTTACGGGAGAAATGCCTGCTCTTTTGTTTACTGGAGGAAGCCCAAACTCTTTTGATGTTCCTCTCATCCTTATCTACACACAGTGCCCATGATGATTGGCCTACTGGGTCATTACTAAATCACTTTTTCCCCTTCCCCCCAAGAAAAGAAAAAATTCGTTTTGTTTTGTTTGAAGGATAACAGTAAATTCAGCTTAGGAAGGCAGCTCTTTTTTTCCCCCCTCCCCACTCCCTGTCTCTCTGAAGATACTATTCATCTGTAAAGCACAACGTGAAGCAGTTCTTAGTGTGATTTAGTGCAGGCCTCAGCTGCTATCTCTTCCTGGGGTTTTGCTGGAGGCTGGAGCTTCCCGACAGCCCGGGCTGTGGAGTGGTGGAATGCAGTGCTGACGTCACGGCCGCTCCTGGGAATATTTTGAATTCCTCTTCCTGGCAGTGGTCAGGTGGCTTCCAGCAAAAATGAAGGACAACAGCTTCCAAAGACGAAAAAAAAGAGAGGAGGAAAAGAACAGTTTATAATCAAAGTATTGTGGGGGAGGCACTTTTATTCTGAGCCAAAATGAAATTAGAACCAGATGTCTTACATTCTGATGCTTCATGAATTCTAAATACATTTATTAGTGACTGTAATAGCTGAGCTGTTGGCTTTTCACTGAACTAAAATCTTAACAATTTTTAAGAGGAAATCTTACAAATAACACTTTGAAAGCAGCTTTCTGTGTGAAAAATGAGGATCCTAATGAATTGTCCCTGAAGTTAACATACAGGCTGTTTTAAAATCTGTTCCTCTTTTGAAAAGTCACTTCTGAAATTAAAAATGTCTGTGATCTGTTAATGTATTTTGTGTTGTTCAAATAAATCCAAGCCGTTCGTTGAGAGGTAAACACTATTTTAGCATCTGCTGCAGAATGTTTTTGCTCAAAATATTTATGTTACAGAATGTCATTTCTGTCCATTACTTCTCAAGCCAGATATTGAAAACAAGACTTAACAGATTCTTAATATAACAAATGTGCCAACGTCAAACAATTGCAATAATGTGTGCAACCAAAAATGAACTGTAATTAAGTTAAATTTTAAACTTAATTTGTTTTTCTTGCCTTCTATCCCCTGCAGTACTTTTGTTTGAATTCATTGTACTGGTTTAGCTAATCACAATTTGTGTGCCTGGATTTAAAATAAAATGTTTTGTTTTGTTTTTTTAAATTGGGTCTTTCAATAGCTTTTTGCTTGTTTTGATGTAGCAACAGTTACATTAACAACAGTTCTCCAGTTTAGGTGAATCCATGAGAATACTTCCTGTTATACAATGAAATGGAAAGTTGGCTTCCTGTTGTAGATCATGTTGCTAGTAAGGAATTTCCAGAAATGTAGAGAAGTGCTGACTCACAGTATACAGACGACTGATCCAGTGACAGTAGGGCTTGACTTTTTTTTTTTTTTTTTTGGTTTTCTGGTTTTTTTTTTTTTTTTTTTTTTTTTTTTGAGTTCCTGGCTGAAACAAGCGAAATATGTGGTGGTAATGTTCTATTTTATTTTTAGATGTAGGGATGAGGGAGAAGGAAAGACAGTTGCTTGGATTGGGATTCTTGCTAATATCTTTAAAATGCTAAAAGTTCTTAGTTTAGGTGTGTGTCTAAATGTGTGTTTTCCAGTCTATTATTAGAATTTGGAAAACATGTTGTTTTTGTTGTACCTACTGTTGTTCTCTTCTGACTCTTGCCCCACAGGTGAGCTGCTTGGCTCCTTAGACTGGGTAGTGACTTCCTGTGGGCTCTGTGTCAGTCACATTAGTATTGGAATGCAGGTGGTTGGTCTAGAAAGTGATCTCAGTATTGCACCTTTTATATTTATGATTAGAAGTCTCTGACCCTAATAACAGTTTACTAAAACATTTAGATATTAGCTGCCCAAAATTAAGAGGAAAACTAGGATTTGTTGTCTTCATCTGCCTGGCTCTCTCCTGTATGTTTTATGTATGTTAAATTGTCTCAATATGAAGTTGCTGATTAAGATTTATTTGTCATTTGTTTGGAATAGAAATGATGGCTAGACTGAGGGTGAAGGAGTTTCTATAACAAACACCTTCTATATGTCTGTCTGCTCTCATCTCTATAAACACTGAGTAGTGTCCTCTATCATGCTGACTACTCTAAGAGGCAGATATGTGTGCTCCTGTTTTCTGCTGAAGGGGCATGATATGTTTACAAAAAGGCATAGCACTGTTTTGTGGTAAAAAAAAAAAAAAAAATCTAAGAGTACAGTAAAACATAGAGGGGGCCGTACTAAAATCTACACCAAATCTATGGGACTAGTTTCTTTTAATGTGATTTTGAGACTTTTAGTTGGTGATTAAAAGTAATTTGAGTAGAAAATGCTCAGAGAGACAAAAATAGAAAACAAATTCTAATGAAAGAGATGAGGAAACATAAATATATGTGTGACAGAGACTGGGACTTCTTAAAAGGAAAAATAAGCAAATGTAAACAATATACTTCAAGTTATATTGTACTTAAAGGCAGCACGCCTGTTTTACTGGCATTTGTGACTGCTTTCAAGGAAGCCGTTACACTGTTGTTTTTGAGTTCTGCCTTTCTCATGCACTAATGAAGAATTTGAATGGTTATGTGTTAACCATAAGGAATCACAGAATCATAGAACACTCTTGTAAAGCTATTTCTTATTTTCTTTAAAGTTTGACAAAAGGAAGAGTGAATTTTTTTAATGAGAGGGGGATACTGTGCTCTAGTGGCTTTACCTGCATATTTGACATCCACTAGCCATAAACCCATTCTAGGGTGCTGACGATAAGCTCATCATTTATATCTACCACTTTCTTCCTCTAAGAGATGAAAAGTAAGAAACTGATGACCTGATTTGCTACTTATGAGGAATTATTAATAGATTGAAACTCCTGTCCAAATGTGAAGTATTTTTCCTGGTTTCCAAAAAATGTGTGTCTCTGAACACTTCAGGAGATTGGGGTGAAAGGGCACCTCTCCTTAGAATTCTCAGCACTGATGGAGAACACTACTCAGTGTGTGTGGAGGTGCTGGATATATTCTTTATGAGACCAGGCAGACACATAGAAGGTGTTTATAATAGAAACCCTTTCACCCCCAATCTTAGCACTTAAGGAGAATCTTGTCAATATGTGCCAGATATTCTACATAAGAATCAAGTATTAATGTGTGATCACCTTTGTCTTTTATGTCCATCTATACAGAAGAGGACTCTTACGGCCTCTCACACTATTATGAAGCAGCCTTTGGAAGATATAATCCCCTTGGAAGGCAGTCTATAAATCTCAGAGCCAAAATAATTACATAGGTGTTTCTATCATAGCACTTACAAGGATTTCTTGTGTTTTGTGCTTTTTCACTATTCTTCTAAATTATTCTGTGAAATTCTAAGTACCAAGTTGTCTGAACTATTTTTCTGTGTAGCTAATAATTACAGTAAATGAATGCATCTGTTATTTGTTGAATGAGTAAATGAAACTGCTGTCTTGAAACAGAAATACACTCTTTTCTCTGTAAGCTTTTAATAATATATTTTTCCACAAAATGCTTTTTTGAAAACTTGTGATAGGGGGATGCAATTCATCACAAGTCTTGGCTTACAGGAGTTTGACATTGCCAGGAATGTTCTAGAGCTGATCTATGCACAAACTCTGGTGTGATCAGTCTGATGTTGAACTTCTAGCCTTCGAGCAAAACCTGGAGGGCCTCCCAGATGATCATGGTCTTCATCTTCTTGTTATTCTTCCAATCCTTCACTGGAGTGCTGTGGACCCTGGCCATCACCATTTGGAGAATGAAACCTTCAATTAACTGCAGCCCCTTCCAAGATCTGCCTTTCTTCATTTAGTCCATCTTCCTTTGGAGCAACACCCTGCATAAGAGGTCTGGCTACATGTGGGTGGTCTGGATCTATTAGAACCTCACTGGCAGTGTGCACTTCTTTTTCATCCTCACTCTCATGTGTTAATCATCACCTGTCTTTACTGGCAGATCACAGAGGGAAGGAAGGTTACGATCAGGCTGCTCCATGAACAGATCATTAATGAGGGAAAAGATAAGATGTTCCTGGTAGAAAAGTTGACCAAAATGCAGGACATGGAGAAGAGGGCAGACTCCCATGCAGTTATCCTGGAAAGAAGAAGATGGAGCAACAAGGCCCTTTGCATTTGGGGGAACGTGATTCTACTCATGACCTGCAGTTTAAACAATCAACTCAAGAAGATAATTTAAAGGCCTGGTGACTTGTGGCAACAAGACACCAAGCCAATAAGAAAAGAAGATAAAAATGGGAAAGATTCTTCCTTGACACCTGGGCCTTGAAGAGCTTCTCAGAAGGAGGATCCACGCCTTTAGCAGGGAGTGGAAAACTAACCCACAATGTCAATACCAAAGTAAAATTGGGCATCCTCTGTTGTCTTTCAAACCTGGATTGCTGATTTTTCAAGACAACATATTTGGGGTTTTCCAGTAAAGACTGATGAAATATTAAACTTAGCCCAGAAAATGTGGGAATATTTAACCTGAAACTGATGTACTTTATCTTCAAGAAATGTGTTTCTGAATTATTGGTCTTTAGGAATCGTTCCTCCCGGACCTGACAAAGGTTTAGAAACTGGGGCTGTGAAAAGTGGTCCAGAGTGAATAAAAATATGATCCTTAATCAGGCAGGTAAATCCTCTGAATTGTGCAATTTGCATTTGTTTGTGACCTTGAACTAAAAACATCTCTGTGTCACTCAAAAATGAAATAGACTCAGAGGTCTTAGCTCTTTATTGCATATTAAGTACAAGAGGGATTAGACCAGGGTGGAGTGGGATTCTGTCCCTATGAAGTTTTATACATATAGCCATCAATGAAGTCTTATGCTGAACCAACATGAAGCCAGTGGTGATGTATGGAATATGATGCATATGAAATGAATATGTGTGTATGTATAATTTTTTTGCAGAATTGCCACATGATTCACAAACACTGTAATTGTTGTTAAAACTGGCAGGCCCGCTAATATTTTTAACCCTGTCATAAGCCTTTCAAGGAAGTGCTTATAATACTTACTGATACTTCCCTTTTTCATTCAAATTCTTTACCTGAGTCCATATTTAGGCCTAGCTGAGTCAAGTGCAAAGCAGGCTTGAGATGAGAAGGCCTCTTATTAACTCTGCACTGTCCTTAAGGGCCACCATCCTGGGCTGTTGTGTGCTGTGCTGTCTCAGGAAGGACCAAGGGATAAATTCAGTCCTCAGATGTTTTCTTGGTTACTTTTTCCTGTTTTTCTTGTTGGTCACAATATGGCATAGAAGTACATGCATGGACATTTATTCCACTTAAATTTAAGATTCAAGAAAATTTCTTTAGGGAGTATGGGTGCAGCTCATGTGATAGAGCATATTGCTTAGAATGAGCGAGGCTCTAGGTTCAATACCTAGCACCAAAAAACAAATAGGAATATTTCTTTGTAAACATTGATTTAAAAATATCCCAAGCTACATCTATCATGCCCCAGCCAACACCTACAGTAACAAAAATCAGCATGCATCTCTGCCACCTGGTTGCATGGAGTGGTCTTCCAAAGCTCCTCCTGCCTGCCTGACTGCTGCAGGGGTGAGGCTGATGAGCCATCTGAGAGATGCAGTGGGGAAGCCAGGGCTGAGTGTGGGCCTATAACGAAGGCCACAGACAGGGCTAACCAGATGAGGCAGACAGATCTGCCATTTTTTGTTTTGTTTGTTTGTTTTTAGTACTGGGGATCAAACGCAGGACCTGTGCCTGTGAGGCACTGAGCTAAAATCCCTGGCCCCAGATCTGCCATTTTAAAATATTTTATTCTAAACACTGCTACTTAAGTTCACAATAGAAGCCTTGGACAATCATGTGGGAAAGAGCACAGAGGTATGGTGCATGGTGAAGAACAGTAGCTCTGAGTCAGGCCAAGGTGGATTTGAGCCCCAACTGTACTGCGTACTTAGAGACCCAGGTAAATGACTTTAACTCTGCATAGCCTCAGCTTTCTCATTAAGTTGAATAAGGTTGTGCTAAGCTGTTGTATAGTTCCTGGACTATAGCAAACAAGTTGTTGTTATGAGATCAAGCCCTGCTGCATCACCACCTGTGTGATTTTGGAGGCTGCCCCTCTTCATCCACAAATTCTAATAGTCTTATCTGTAAAAGGAGGATAAGCTGAGAAGTTCTTGGAAGTTTCTTCCAATTCTGATTGTCTACAGTGCAGTGTTACAAAGCTTCCTAATAAACCGAAAGTGCAAATATGAGAAACTGAAAAAATGGAAATAAAGTGTTTGTAAATGGGGAGGGGAGGAGGGGGTGAAGGGAGGGCAGGGACAAGGGGAAAAAATAAGAATCAAGACCTATTATGTAAAGGTACAGAATCCCAATGATGAATGTAACTGTATTGTATACCTAGATTGTACCAATAAACTCAATAAAAAAAAAAAAACCAAAGTGCAGCTATGAAAAAAAGACCCCAAAAACTTGTGATAACATGAGTATAGTATAAAATTTATCATTGTCCCTGTTCTAGGTAATGTTATTAGCTACATTCATAATGTGGCACATCATCACTATCCATTTTCAGAACATTTTAATTATTCCAAACATAAATTATGTACCCTTAAATACTAACTCTATTCATTTATCTATTAATGGATAGTTTGTTTTTACTGTTTAGCTGTGGTGAATAATGTTGCTAGGTACATTGATGTGCAATTATCTGTTTAGTTCCTGCTTTCAACTGTTTTGGCCATATATCTAGGAGTGGAATTGCTAAGTTATTTTATAATTCTATGTTAACGACTTTTTTTTTCTTTGAAACAAGGTCTCACTATGTTGTTCAAGCTGATCTTGAACTCACTGTGTAGCCCAGCCTGGGCTCACATTTTCAGTGATCCTTCTGCCTTAGCCTCCAAAGTGCTAGGATCAGAAGAGTGTACCATCAAACCCAGCTTTTTATTTAGTTTCTTATGTACATACCATATTGCTTTCAGTGGAAGGTATACCATGTGTATACTATATCGATAGTTGTTCTTCTTTCTAATCTTTTCAGCTAAGCTAATATTCTTTCTATATTTTTAGGTTCTTTTACTTTAAATTCTCTGTAAAGGTTATTAAAAATATTTTAAGGAATTATGAAATATTCAATGAGCATTCCCAAATACATGAAAAGTATATCAGTAGCAATTCACAGATACTTTGGTCTGGCAGGGCAGCCACACATCTTGGTAAATTCCAGCTTAGGTATATGGGCATCCTACAGGTTTCAGACATTCTTCTATGATATCCTCCTTACCAGATTCAGGAACTTAGCATAAAAACTAAATTATAGAAACTTATATTCTATCTGGTTGGCTGAAACATTCTCTCAGAAGTACCATTTTTTCTTGGTATTCCCCCATTTATCTTTGGTAGCAGAGTACAAATGTTTAGGATTGATTTTTTTGGAACAAATATTTTTATGATGACTTATGATGCTTTTTCTTTTTATTCAATAATAAGTGTTTTGGTGGTTCCATTATATGTTCATACATGGTAGAAGGCACACCTTGCTCCCTGAAACCTCATATCTGGTGACAGTCACTCACTGAAACTAGGATGATAGTGCATTTTATTATTTCTCTCAAGTCTTATATTATCAAGGTGAAGACATATAAATAACTGATGAAACTTTTGACAAAGTACTTAGATTGTAAGAACTATAAATTAAAATAACTTTAATATTTAATAGTAAATATTCAATAATATGAGTTGACACTTCTTTGACCTGACTTTGGGTTCTTGTAAGCCACATAACAAAGTGTCAAATAAATGTTTTGATCATATCTGAGAAGAAGTTGGCACAAAATGTGATTATAAATATAGATTTACACCCACTACTTAGGAAATAAAGCTGACCCTAAATCGGTTTCTTGCATTTTGTATGTATAAATAATTTATAATGATTGGGGACATGATCTTTAAAAAATTAAAAACAAAATACATGATCAGTTTCAAAGAGAAATGAATTAGTAAGAACAGAATCTGATAGATTTTCAAGTTCTACCTTTTATTATTGTATTAGACTTGCACCAATCAGTTTAACAAAAATTCATTCTGAGTCCTTGGGGAGGCTCGGAAGTTAGCTACCAGGAATCTTATAACCTGAACTTCACTATAGACAATATGTACTTTTGTTGCAATGACTTTGAATAGGGAATATCTATTATTTGATTCTTATTTTTACCATTTTCAGTTTTCCTGAAAATTTCTAAAATGGAATTTTAGTGATATCACTCTTGTAAATGGATGAACAAGTATTTTATAACCATTGTACATATTCCTATATTGATTAGCTAACTTATTAATGGTTCCCTGGCTTGTTAATGATTAATTTAACATGTGTGAGCTCCATGGGTTTTAGGGACATGTTTTGTTCATCTCTTTACCTCTTATTGAAAGAGGTGCACATTTTGAGTGTTTGCTTGATACGAGCTGAACAAAACTTGCATTATATAATCTTATGTCTATATAAGGTGAACTTCAAGATGTTTGTCTAGTGGCATCATGCACATACCTATTTTCCCAGCATTATCGAAGGCTGAAGTATAAGGATCACCAATTCAAGCCCAGTCTTGCAACTTAGCAAGACCCTGTATCAAAATAAAAAATATTGTCAGGCATAGGGGCACAGGTCTGTAATTCCAGTACACAAGAGGCCAAGGCAGAAGGATTCCAACAAGCTCAAGACTAGCCTGGGCTACATGATGAGTTCAAGGTCAGCCTGAATTACATAGCAAAACCCTGTCTCAAAAACAAAATAAAAATAAGAAAGAAAAAATAAAGGACTGAGTATATAGCTCAGTGTGAAGGACCTGGCTTCAATCCCCAGTACTAGAAGGGGAAGAGAAGAAGAAAGACATAAGAAAGACAGAAAGAAGAAGGGGAAAATGTAAAGAATATTTTGCTTATTCATTTTAAGATTTAGGCTGAGGAATATTTGTACCCTGACTTTTTTCTTTTGGTCCCTTATGCCAATTCCCACCCTTCCTGGTATAACCTTAGATAACCCAAAACTATATACTTGAGTTGGCATAAAATTCTTTGTTTGTTCATTTGTGTGCCTTAGGTACTGGGAATTGAACCTAGGGTCTTCACACTGAGTTACATACCCAGTGCTTTCGATTTTTTATTTTTTGAGACAGTCTCACTAGGTTGCTACATTGCCTGGACTAGGTTTGAACTTTTAAAATCTCTAGCTCAACTTCCCAGAGGACTGAGATTATAGTCATGTACCACAACATATAGCGAAGGTGCACATATTTAATGATTTGTGTAGGCTTATTTTTTATTCATTAAGTTTATTGGTACATTTTAGGTATATAATATGATGACATTTGTCATTGGGGATTTGTACCTTTACATGATATATCTTGGTTTTTATTTTTTTCCCACTACCCTGCCCTCTGTAAACCCCTTGCTATTTACAAAGACTTTCTTTCTGTTTTTTTTT